AAGAAGTTGATTAAGCCAAACTCTGAGCAGATACCTTAGCATTGTTCCACGGTAAAAATTTGAAGGACCCAAATTTGTGCTACATTCAGTGGCAGTTTTAAAAGTTAACACTGCTATATTAAATATTTGGGTTTTCTCAATACTTGAATATGGAATATGCATAGGGAAAGGAAGTCAACACTGCACTTTACTAGCACTGTATTGTAAGTGGAAAATGCAATGTCTTAAATAAAATTGTATTTAAAATTGGCACCATATAGTTGTTTCATGCTGTGATTAAAAGGGCTGTATTAGGTTACTATGGTTGAATCCTCTTCTGCTAGTCTTGTAAGTATTATGAAACCCTTAATAAGGAGAGTGGTTTTTTAAATTTTTCCAGAAGCTGGTACAGTATTTGGGTTGTTGAACAATGCCAAGGAAAGGCTTTAATGCTGAGGCAAACAGTGGGGAGGGTATCTGGTTGTAGGTCAGAGCTAAGGGAACCTTGCTTTCTAGTGTTTGACTAACCTGTTGATGTGATAAAAGGTTTAGGAGAGTCAGAGGACCCAAACCTGACTTGATCTGGTTTACCTGAACAAATGTTAAAAAGTTTTACAGAGAGCTCAATTTGATCAAGGGGTGAGTGGGGGTGGGAATAGTGGCTGATCATTATGGTGGAAAAGCAAACTCATTGCCATCATAGTTTCCAAGCAGCACCTGGTGGATTCAAACTGCTGTGTAGCAATAATTCTCTGTGTGCAAAAGTGGTTTTGTGTAAATGGAGACTCTTTGCAGGGCCCTTCAAATCCCTGCCTGATAGGGAGAGAGGTTTCCATAATTAGGATTTTACTGTGTCAGCAGCACAGTCCTTTTAAATTCCGTTTTCTCGGCCAAGTCATAGCTAGGTAGTAATTGGCATTAGAGAGCTGGCTATAAAGCAGGTGAACGCTGGTGAGGACCTAACTTAGGTTAAATTCTTCGTTTCAAAAGTATGAGAAAGGAAAATTAACACTTACATAGTTCACATAGCTCACAATCAACTCTCAAGGTGATGGAGTCAGAATTTTGAGTAGGTCTGGCTCCCAAACATTGGATTTGCACTGGGCTGCTTTCAGGTAATACATAATTCAGTTATCACTTTATTGGCAAAGAAGTTCAGAATTAAATCTTCAGCAAATGGTTTTGGCTTAAATGCCTCAAGTACTCCACCTTACACCCTGAAAGCGCTCCATTCCCTTATGCCTGAAGGATTTAGGTGTGATGGCTAAATTTACTAGTTTGGTGGTGCTAACTTGCCACCTGGTGGCCAGTGCATGGTAAGATGTCTTAGGCAGAGAACAGGACCCTAATCGAAAGTTCCCAACTTTGAAGGAACTGTTTGGCCCAACTAGAATTAGGTGGTGAATTTAAGAACTTTCCCCAGTTAACACAAAGCATAGCATTGTAGCCTGGTTAAGTCAGCAAGAACTAAGGCTGTCCACACAACCTGATTTTTTTCTTGGAAGGGTGATTATGTTACATTGACACTTAGGCAGAAGTGCTTTAGGTGTAGTGGTGTTCACAGATAGAGGGCATCTGTAATTACAGAAACGGCCAAGTTCGCTTTTGTCAAAATGACCAATTTTTTCTCATTTGTAAGGGTCACAAATGGATGATCCTTTGGGGGCCACCCTTTCAGAACATCCAGGGCTGAGAATCTTA